GGCGCATGCGCAAATTGCCTTGCCACACCGGGCCATGCTCTTTTACAAATCCGTAACTAAGTCAATGGCAAAGCAGCTGTGTCCAATTTGGCGTGCGTTGCAGTGTTATGACACCTGCTTTAAAGCGTTTTAGTGCGTTATGAAATATGATAACATCATAAAAAATATATAAATGCTTGAAATTTTAAATGCACGCCAACAACGAACGAAAACTTTTTTTTTTGAGAATGGTTTTGACAACGGGAACATGTCTAATAAATTACACTCAACTCCTTCGTTAAGGCTGCTTTTCGAACGATGGAGCAACCAAGTAGCGAAAGATGTGCAGACGCTATACGGTCCTTCTGCTTCTTCAAGTCGGACACTGTTATTAAAGATGGAGTTAGCAATGGTCAAATATTATGAAAACTGGAAGAATAGTGGTGGGGAAAATTCTTGTGTTGCTGAACGTCAAACTCTTAAAAACTTCATCGATAAGCAGGTGAAGAGAAGTAGGACAGAAGGACAGGAAAAGCCGCGAAACCGGCCAAGGCAAGTATTCAACACAAGACGGGTAATGAATTGTCTATTCCGAAACTCTCTTCTAATTTTAGCCAAGGGTATGTGCGAGCATAGTAGAAAATGAATGCCTGGCAAAGAAATGAAGCCCTCAGCATGGGAATCAAAGGACAGTGAACGTCGGATGAAACTTAAAAACCTATCTCTGCTTCATTCGGGAAATGGGATGAGTCGGAAAAGATTGTGGCATGTTAAAGAGCCCAAGAATTGTTGAATATAAGTCCTCGATATGCTAAATGGCCTCCATTTTCTTCCATCAGCGGAAGAATCGGCTTGTCCACACATCGATTGCAGTATACACCCAATGGCAATAGGAAAGACTTAACGCATGAATGTCGAATAGTGCAGGCCATCGCCTCCAGAATGGCCCATAATTTATAGTCCAGTCGATTGGAGTCTAGGTACCAGGAAGCCAGTAGTCCTTGAATATATAGCTCGAGTCATGGTTTTGTGTCGATTTTGCCTTATGAGCTAGAGCGGAGAGTTTTTGGAATGAGCGCAGAAGCTGAGTGGTGCGCACGTTGAACCCTCGGAAAGAGTGCGGACGCATGAAGTAATGTTCTTTTTATTTAATGATTTTTCCAAAGTGAAAATTTTCTCGTTCGCAACCAGAATTCTATGTGACCATGTTTTGTGGGGAATGGAATGGAATTGAATTGTGGGTGGCCGGAAAACCCAAGAAAAACTTCTTTTTCGAAGTACTCGGGCCTAGAAACAGGATTTAGAGGAAAAGGATATAGGTGGGGTGGGACTTCAATGCTCCCCGGCAAACTTACCAAAGTCATTTATGAATCTTAGCAGTTGATAAAGAGTAAGAGAATGTATCCATCTGTTCCCAATCCAAAAATGTACCACCTAAGTCTGGCAAAGACCGGACAGCGGCAGAGAAAATATTCAGTATTATCCCCATCCTCCAAACAAGTTGTGCACTGTGGATCGTCGATAATGGATATGGTGACCATATGTCGTCTTCACAGATTGTGCCCCTAATCAGTCCCATCAGGACTCTTAGACCACTCCTTCTCTGCCTTAGAAGGAATTATACTACCTCCCAGCTAGGCCTTTTCAGAAAATACTTGGTTGTTTTGCATTTGACGATCCCACACTAACGGTTCTCATGGGTTTTAGTTATGAGACCCTTCATATACCCNATCTCTGCCTTAGAAGGAATTATACTACCTCCCAGCTAGGCCTTTTCAGAAAATACTTGGTTGTTTTGCATTTGACGATACCACACTAACGGTTCTCATGGGTTTTAGTTATGAGACCCTTCATATACCCGATCGTTCCCGCTATGCTTGGCCATAAAATTGGCTCTGGTCCAATTGAATGCTCCAAAGAACCACAGTTCGGCAATTCATCAGCCAGTGCGTTGTCCTTTACACCGCAGTGTCCTGGCACGCACGAAAGTTCTAGCTTATTCCACCTTGTAGCGGATCAACTCGTTAATTCTTAATTATCTCGGGAATTAACTGCAGTTGATCCGGATTAAGTCCTAGAGTTAATTCCCAAATAATACTCGGATCAAGTGTATTTTCGACGACAGTACTGACCAAATCTCAGAGAGCGTAGAATACAGAGAATAGGCAAATCTAGTATGGACAATATATCCTTTCGTCGGTAATGCAGTCACCATACTAATTCAGATAAGAATCCTATTTAAATTGGATAAGAGCGTATTTGAATTAGTATGACGACTGCATTACCGACGACAAGGTCCATACTAGTTTTGCAAATTCATTGCGTTCTACGCTCCCTGAGTAAACATATACGCAAAATAAGGCAATCGATTCCTTCATCCGCGGTAGCCGAGTGGTGAGAGCTGGGCACTACAAGTCTGCAGGTTCCAGGTTCGATCCTCGGTTTAAGCTATTGCCAAACAAATTGTTGTTTTTATTTTTTATTTGATTTGATTTATATATTTTTATTTGATTTGATTTATATATTTATATATTTAATTTCACTTTACTTTATTTTAATTTGTTTTATTTTATTTCACATTATTTATTGTATTATTGTTTAATTTAAATGTTTAGAGTTTATTTTACTAAAAANAAAATTGTTGTTTTTATTTTTTATTTGATTTGATTTATATATTTATATATTTAATTTCACTTTACTTTATTTTAATTTGTTTTATTTTATTTCACATTATTTATTGTATTATTGTTTAATTTAAATGTTTAGAGTTTATTTTACTAAAAAAGTCAAAAACAAATAACTTAAAACAATATTAAAAATATAAAGTTATAATTGAAAGAATGAAAAAAAATTAAATGAATACTCTACCCTGCCGTGGGATTCGAAACTACGACCCCGAGGCTCGTTAATCCGCATTACTTCCGTCTGGCAAGGTACAATTTTGATCATATCAATCGCGCCGTTGATGCGGGTTAACGTTGCCGTCAGTTTATGCTTTANACCCTGCCGTGGGATTCGAAACTACGACCCCGAGGCTCCTTAATCCGCATTACTTCCGTCTGGAAAGGTACAATTTTGATCAGATCAATCGCGCCGTTGATGCGGGTTAACGTTGCCGTCAGTTTATGCTTTAAGGTATGTACATAAAATTGCGGCAAATTTTCAATCGAAATACTTCACCGAGCGAACCTAGTGCCATGATTGCCTACAACTTACTTACATAAAATAGCCTTTCATTTCAAGTAACTGATTGCTGAGAATGGGTATGGCGCCCGAGTCGTGTACCGAAACATTTGCTAATACTAACTAAGTATTTTAAATATTTTTTACTTACTTAATTAAATTCAAGGGGGAAACACTTCAAAGCTATTTTCTTGCATTCTCTGTTTCTTTAGTTGTGTTGTTCTTCCACCAAATGAACGATATACAATTTTGAAATACAATTTTGGAAAACCATTTATGTATATAAATGCATATGTAAGTTTTTGCTTAACCCCCTTCACCGGAGACTGCCGATTTGCACAAATATTTACTTTTACACATTTTTGACCTTGACATCTCATACGTTATCTTGTTTTTTATATATATATTTTTTTTGGTTCGATGCACCTAGTAAGTGGCGTAAAAATTATGCAAAATCCATGAAAGCGCTTAGCTGACTAAGTGCATATGCACCCATTTTCGAGTTTAATGTTCGCGTTTGCATAAGAAAATCTTAAATGCAAATATTTACGCACTTACATATGCATGTACATTAGGGTGGTCCAAAAATGCATGTGAAAAAGTCGTAATTTTTACACTCTCACCCCCTAGGAGTGTTCTATACCGAAAAAAAGTATACCCTTATTTTACAAGCTTTTATTTAACTTCACTTGTATGTATGTATGTATGTATGTATGTATGTCCTGGAACTTTGCAGTCAATATTTAACAAACTTCCCGATGAGCTACAGACTTGAAACTTCAAACTTAGCTCAGAACTCGAGGACAATACAATTTAAAAGATGTTTTAATCCGCTAGGTGGCGCAGGAGTCGAGATATTTGTAAAACCCGCATTTATGGTCTGATTTGGTTCGTATTTAGAACATTTATTACGTATATGAAAAGAAATTAATCCGAAAAAAATTTTGCCGATAGGTGGCGCAGGAGTCGAGATATTTGGAAAACCCGTATTTATGATCCGATGTGGTTCATATTTAGAACATATATGACTTATATGAAAATAAATAAATC